TCTGAATGTGTAATGACCAGATCGATATTTAATGACTGATGTTGATAATGAACATTAAAAAATATAGTATATTTGTAGTTAAGAACTTGTTAATTACCAAGTGCCATTATCTTTTCAAACAATTGATTCAAAGCTTGATTGCTATGAGTAACCAGTAAAGTATGCTGATCAGGAAAATTGTGGTAAAGGTTGGCGATAATTTGAACAGCTACATCTGTTTTGCCGGTACCCGGTGGGCCAACAATTAATGTTAATCCTGGGTTTGTTCCTGACTTAATAGCTTCCACTATAATTAAGGTAGTAAAGCTTTCAGAAACATATTATGAGGAACTATCATTTGTTTAACATTGACACTTACCCTGAACTGGAGTGAACCTTATTGTATTTTTCTTCGGTAGATTGAAAGGGTAAGGTCCCATATTTGGTATACTGTATGTACGTACTATGGTCGTATCTTCATTGCTCTTAGAAGATTCAGGAAATTGAAGAACATAAGGAGAAGAAAATGGTGCTTCAAAATCCTTCATTGGAACTATTTTCTTTACATTGTTTAAAACCATTAAATAATTTAATCACATCATTTGATAATAGTAATCATATAGAAATATTAAATATAAATACTTTTCCAGGAAAACTATCGACAAGGTGATCATAATCCAAAAAAGTATCTCTAAAGTCAATTTCTTTTGGTAGGTTTTTCATCATAGTATAATGAGCACTACCAGGAAGACCATAACCCAGGAAAATATTATGCAACCAATCTGGTACAACCAATTCACTTTGCATCAAGTCACGAATCGTTTCAAGCACAGCTTTAAAATTGTTTTCCTTAAGTTACAAAATTAATTTTTGTAAATAATTCTTCCAGAACATCAACAATATCAATAATAGTAATGATTTAGTTGATTAAAAACATACTTTCGGTTTTCTTCTCATTAACACGTTAAATGTTTCATCACGACATTATCATATTTGAATGCCAATAAAGATAGCTCGCGTCGCTATAATGTCATAAACATTAACTTGCATT